CCTGCAGGTTTGTGTGCAGCTTGGTGTATTATGGGCTGACGCTGAGTGCTGGTGACCTAGGGGGAAATATTTATGTCAACTTGGCGCTATCTGGCCTCATAGAGATCCCATCGTACCCTATCTGCATCTACTTGATTAACCAAAAATGGTGAGTATAGATGACTGTGAAGTGTACCCTATGGAATTCTCGCTCTCTCTCATATCACGTGTACATATGGTACATACATACCTGTGTCCATATGGAGTGTCTGCTAGCTGCTCTGTGATGATTCGAGTTCCTTTAAGGCCAAGTGTAGTTAAAATTCCTCTTTTGGCTCAGTATTTCTTGGGTTTAGTTTAATCCAATATGGACAGGCCATTACCTACCCTCTAAAGGGGTTAGACTGCATGTGTATGTGTCTTTAATCTCAATAGATGAGATCACCAGTTCTATGTAGCTGGGAACCCATCAACCCAGTTAATCTAACTTCTAACTTTTTACATGAAGACAAGAGAGAGGGATTAGAAAGGCTTTTCGCATCTCCCAGGATGCACTGAATTTCTTTGAGGGAGAGCACACCCCCTGCTTCGGCTACTCCTGGTCAGTACACACGGCTGCAAGCACTTTTCAACCGTCATTTTACGGAGCGCCTGTCCTTCCCTCTCTCAGCTTCTAGGACAGCTGACAACTCCTTCCTGTGTGCGCTTCGAGCCCGCATTTCTAATTCTCCCGGAGTCCTTTACCCAACCCGGGCGTGTCCAGCCCTGCCGGTGGTGCTGTGGTCACGGGTGTTTAGGTGGGGGCAGGGCAGGGCCCATGCGGATTCCATGACATCAAAGGCCTTTCTCCCAGGGAAAACTCCCTGTCGCTTCTGCTGGCTCCACCCCTGGCAGTGACTGCATCTTTCTCTCGGCGTGCTCCAGGATCTGGCTCCGGCAGCATGGGGGCAATCTTTCCCCAGCACCCCCACTTGTACCAGGTGGCCCTTCTCTGTGCACAGTGACCGTCGGTGGGTGCTTCAAACAGCCACCTCCGGAGTCCCAAGGTGTCACGCTGTGCATGCGGGGCATCTGATGTACCCTTGCATTTGCATCGCTAGTGCCTGCCAGGCACGGGCCCTGGCACTGGAGAGGCACTTGGTAACGGTTGCCCAGCAGAATGACACCAAGGTGGCCGACGAGTCTCAAGACCTGTCATCTCTCACTTAGGACCAGACGCAGGGCTGAAGCACCCAGGGGTGAGAAGGACGGTGGCTTAGGGATGAGGCCGACCTGAATGCCTGTCTGGGTGTGCCTGCCTGCTGGCTGCATGACTTTGCCCAAGTCTCCATGCACTCACCCGGAAGCTAGGCATTCTAAGTTCTACCTGGAAAAATGGCTATAAAATTGAATCTGTGGAAGTTTCTAGCAGACCCTCAGCAAAGGGCAGCCTATTAATGGTAATACCTTTTTTCTTCCATGGAAAAGCACTCAATTGAAAATTACTTCTCTCAGTAAAGTGTACAATAAATTCGACTTTATCTTGACCTTATCAGCAAGAGTTTTGTTGCCTCCCCCACCTCCCTCTCTCTTATGCACACGCACGTGCACATCACACACACACATACCTTCCCCTTTTGCTGGTGCTTTAAAGAGAAGAAGATTGTTTTAGCTGTGTTTGAGACTTTTAGCTATTTAAGCTTCAGGTAGCCAGACAATGGGAGGAGCTCAAAGACTCCATGTTCCATCGATCCATTGCATGTTCTATACATGTGGCGATTTTAGCTGCATGGACCTTACAGGTTTGTTAAGAGACTAAATAAGGCAATAGACGGAAAATACTTCAAACAGTGCCTGGGAACGAGACCATCGGATTTCATGATGTGCTATCCCCCTACATCCCCGAATCCTTTCACCAAGCTAGCTTACCTCTGTCTTTGGGGGGTGGGGTGATTTCATTGGGGGGGGGGAAGTGATAGCACGTAAGGTGACTCGGTGAGGACCTTCAGAGGGACTCGGGAAAGGAGCCACTGGATTGGTGAGAGTCCTAATAGCAGGGCGTCCTTTCTCCCGGTGATGCAGGTTTGGTCGCAAGAGGACATTAGCGGCGTTTCTGTGCCTGGGAGGCCTAGCCTGCCTGATTGTAATGTTCCTGCCAGAGAAGAAAGGTACGCCTTTGCCATTTCTACGAGGACAATGAATCTCAGTCTACTAGCGGGATTACCATGTGCCATGCTTCATGTCTGTGATTGCATATTACTCAGCAATTGTACGGGGTATAATGGGCCAGATTCTTTCCATTGCCTGAACTATTCTGTGGGTGAATCAAGTGCTTAGAGGTGCACTACGAGTTCTTTCAGGCTGTTATGCGACCCTCTGGGCGGCTGGGACGCGGCGTAGTGGTGAGGGTCGAGGTGTTGATGTGAAGGCGATGTGGACCAGCTATTTCTGCACCCAAAGCAACGCTGCCTTAGACTGCAGATTGCCCTCCTCGCGCCCCTCGGTCTCAGGAGCAGAGAGCGCTGGCCCCTCATGGTGGCCTCGGCAGGCACTGAATCTCTCCTCCAAGCCACCCCGTAGCAACAGCATGCCCATGTACCTCGGGACGGTCACCTCGCTCCCAGTCCTATTTAAAGTACAGACAAACGTCCTCAGAAACCTTGGTGCTTGAATCGACAAGGGGGCTGCGAAAGTTCGTGGGGAAAGTGGAACTAAAAGAGAATGGAATCTTTATGCCCTTTTTAAAAACAATCATTTTATTGGGGGCTCTTACAACTCTTATAACATTCCATACAATTGTATCAAGCGTATATGCTGTAACTATGTTGCCATTGTCATTTCCAAAACATTTTCTACTTGAGCCCTAGGTATAAGCTCCATTTTCCCCCTCCCTCCCCCACCCTCTCACCCTTTTGAATCCTTGATCAATTATATATTGTTATTATTTTGTATCTTACACTGTCCGTTGTCTCCCTTCACCCACATTTCTGTTATTCTTCCCCTTCAGGGGTTGGGGGGCTATATCCAACCTTGTGATGGGCTCCCCCTTCCTCCCCCTTTCACACTTTTTGGAGGCCCCTTGAATTTATAGCTTTGCTCTGCAAACACAGCTTCGAGAAAACCTCCCTTGGCCATCCTCCACTAAACTGACCACAGCCCTTCTATGGACATTCTGTAGATCCTGCTGGTTCTCAGCCCTGTTTTGTTTCCTGCCCCGGCACACCTGCGGCCTGCGAGCTGCCCACTGCATTCGTCACTGTGTGGGGCTTGTCCACGGCAGAGAGTGGGTGGTCCAACAGCAGCTTCATGGGCGGACCTTAACCAGGCTCCATTACGGAGTCTGCATTCCGGGTGAGCATCTGTGGGCGAAGGCAGAGCATCAAGCCTGGATTAATACTGGAGATGCAGCTGAAAGAGCGCTTCTCCGTCACGGCCCATCATTCATTAAACACTCCTGGTAAATGGCTTTTCCTTCGGGCTAAAGTTAACCCTCATTTCATTACCAACGCCGAGGCTGTGCGTGTCACCTGTTGGATAACTAACGCTCCTGTACCCCTCACGTGTGGCCGGGTGCAGGCTGGAGCTCCGTGCCTTGAATTCAGCATGCAAGTCGGCTCACCGGTGAGGGTTCTGCTCCGAACAACCTGTGATGGGATCGTGGAGACTAGCGTGTGTATTAAGTTTGCCTAGTTCCTATCCTCTATGAAATTTGGGGCTTCTGCTTAGTGCCAGCAAGAGGAGAGATCACTCACATCGGTGCCTGTCGAGGGCCTGCAGAAAGAACGAGTGCCCAGTTCACACCTGGGGCATGACACTGTTGGGCTATAGACCATTGTAGCTTTATGTTCAGCAACTTTTGTAATTCGGAGGTCACTTAGGAATTCAATTATGTCGCCAGCCTAGCGATTCACTGTTGTGGCTACCATTTGGTAGAGGTGTTTTCTTTGTGCCTGGAGGCCCGCCAGTAACCTGTCACACCTGGGTCAGCCAGGCCAATTCATGCCTTTCTTCTCTTCCACGGTATTTGGACTTGTCAATTAACGCACCTCTAAGACTTCACCTGGCCCTTTCCTGAAGTCATTTTGTATTAGAAATGGCAAAGCAACAGCCCAAAGGGAACGTGGTTTGCGATGGATCACTTGGACCAGGACCCACGTCTCTCTTCACTTGCAATCAATATGAAGGTTGGCCCAGGGCTTCAGTCATGAAAGCAGAACAGACCAGAATTTGTCAACCGTGGTTGTACAGGCACGATAACGGGAACTGGAAAGATTATGGAGCAGAACCATGGAATGAAAGACGGGGAAAGGCGTAGTGAGTGAACCCTTGCAGGAGCCTGATTCAGGAGGTTGGGCTGTTGCCAGGCCTCTGGAGTGTGACCCACAAAGCAGACCCTGAGCCCCGTTCGAGCTGAGTGCCATTGCCTCTGACTCGATTCCTCAAGAGGTTTGGTTGCTATGTGGCACCCACACTTCCCTTGCTTTCTAAGAGGGAGGACGCACTTCTAGCCACCGGTGGTCTTTCCCACTCTGGTTTTCATTTCAGTACACCCCTATGTTCCAAATGCGCATCCATTCCAGTGTGGCTTCCTTGCCCTAGACTGAACCGGAAAGAAGCGATTCAGAGCCCTGCTTGCATCCCGATTGTGCTCCTGGGTGGACACTGGGTGAGAAGCAGAGCATAATTGGGTCTTCTGCACGCTCTACAAATACTCCTCAGGAGGAGGAGCCTCTGCTCTGACATAGAGGAGCCGGGTGGTCAAAGCACTAGGCTGCTAAGTAAAAGGTTGGCGGTGTGAACCCCCAGCCACTGTGTAGGAGAAAGCTGTGGCGGTGTGTTTATGTAGAGTTATGCAACCTTTGAGAGCCTTATGGGGCACTGCGACTGTCCTGTGGGTTTGCTATCAGTAGGAATTTAGTTGACAGCAGTGGGTTTTGTTTGGTTATTAGAGGAGTGGACGTCTAGTCTGTTTGTGAAGATTTCTTGGGAAGGCATTTCCTAATGACCTTTAGTCGGTGACTCTGGTCCTCTGCACCCACAGTGGAGTGCCCCTCCTTGCATCATATCCCTTCCTGGGAAAGAGAACAGATGGCCCCTCCTGCTCTGCAGCGTCCTCTCTACACGAGCATAGAGTCCACTCTCGGGCCTCTGATCTTACTTTGAATCTTCGCAATTTCAACGTCCCCAAAACGTTAGTGTTTACTCCTTAAGTGTATTTTGATGACATTCTTCCAAGTCCCTGAGGGTTTTCTTTCTCTCAAAATTCTGAGCTCTAAATGACATACTGAAAAACTGGCTCAGAGTGTAGAGAAAAATACCTAGAATTGATAAATAAGCCTCCATGCATATTGGGGGTGCTTGGGGCACATGAACACTGTGTGCTCCCACAGTTTCCCACTGGATGGGAGTTCATCCCTTCCTCTCTGACCATCCCCGTGCCCTTCTGTACCCCAACTTGGTGTCAGCAGCGAGAGGTAGGGGGCAGTTGTCTACTTATGAGTCGCTGGTATTTGTAACCATTAGAAAAGATAGACAGTATGCTAGAAAGCATGTTGCTTGCCTCTCATTAGCCCATGGTTTGTAGTTACTAGGCAAGCATGCCCTGTCCAGAACATCTTTGCACGCTGACTAGCCTCTTAGTAAATACTCTTTCCAGTGGGGTTAATGTTCCTGGGTGGCCACTACGGGTAATCCCAGCTTCTGAGGTGTTTGAATTACGCCACACCACACTTAGACCCTCCAGTTTCTCTCTCATGCCCTGTCATCATCAGTGACATGGACTGCTGACAGGCTTATGTCAGGTACCTTGCCAATGTTGTCATTCTCGAGCCAACCCTCAGAGGCAAAGGTTGGGTTTATAAAGATCCTGATAATAAAAAGCAATCATGAAAACATTAAGAAGGGGTCATTTGACTTATGTCAGAACCAACTTGCCTAGGAGTCCTAAGTCAGGGGCCACCCATGATTGATTCCAAGACCCGCTTGTCTGCTGCCAGTGTCAGCTGCTCTCTGTGCTTCCTTACGGAAGGGTCACGGTGCAGCTGATAATACTGGTAGTCGGGCTGTTTCCCTTTCATTTGCCAAAAAAAAAAAAAAATCAACTATTATCCCCAGGTAGCACAGGTTGCTACTTACTTAGTGGCACATCTGGAATTCAGATCTCAGGCCTTTCTGACTCTAAAGTCAAGCGGGCCTTTGAAAATGAAGTTTTTGTCTCACGGAGAGTTATAGACCCAGAGTGTGTTGTTCTTAGATGGCAGTTGAATTCAGCTCACAGAGACCCACCTGTGGCTGGTGGGTGGATTCAAACTGCCAACCTTCGGGTTAGTGGTGGCACACGTAGTTGTGTGCACCACTATGTCTGCCTAGAACCAAAGCATTCTTTGCAAATGGTGAAGCAGTGGTTTTAAAAGAGTCGAGCTGCCTGGTGAGGCCAAGCTCTATCTTTTCAGTGGGCAGGCCTGATGGAGATTAGCCAGGATCCAGGAACCTGGGTTGTCAGAGTAGCTCTGGGCACTTGTGGACAACCGTTGTCAGAGAATTGGAATACTCAGACGTCAGGGCACAGGGCACCTATGTTGTTTCATAGCCGAAGGACGTCCCCCAATTCTCGGCTGCAGAGAAACCACATTTCTTTGCTCAACCCTGGCTTGTGTGTCCCTTCCTCATTTGACTGCTCTCCTACCTGCTATAGACAAGATACTATTCTTAAACAAGGCCCAGTTCCTGGCCTTAAAGCACTTTTCAATCCAGTGGGGAATGAGTGATTCAACAAGAACAATACAAGAAGATACCTTGTGTGAAATGACAACTGAATACCCTGTGGGAGTTCCCCTCTGGCCAGGATGGCAATGGAGATGGCTCTCCTCAGGCTTTACCACTGGGCTTTCAGGCCACAGTGCAGGAGGGGAGCTCAGCACAGTCCAGTGCTCTTGTTGCATTCGGGATACAGAATTATAACCTTGGGGACGTCAAGATGGCTAGAATGTGCTGGGTAGAATACCAGAGAGAAGGGAGCTGCACCCAGGAAGAGGCCCCAAGTAATCTTTGACTACTTGCTAGTCTGTGCACGCATCAGACCTAGAGAAAGGATGGCCAGAAAGGAGCAGGTAGAGCCATTCTTAGGGGCACCCTAACCCACCCCACTGCTGTTGAATGGATGCCGACTCATTACGACCCTGTAGGACATAGTAGAAAGGCTCCCTAGCATTTCAGAGATAGCAAATCAGTGTAGAAGCACACTCCCACCTTTCCCCTATGGAGAGGCTAGTGGGCCCAAACCATCCGTATTTCAGTCAGCAGCCCAGCACCTAACCTACTGCACTCTGAGGGCTCCTTTCTGGGAACACAGAGCCACCAGCACTTAACAGTTCTCATTGGCTAGACAGGAGACTTTGGGAAGAGAACTTCTTGGTTAAATTTGCCCTAGAGGGAAGGCTGCTATGAAATTCACAAAAGAGAAACAAATGAACAGTTCCCTCAGGCGGCTCACATGAAGCCAACTAAACTCACTTCTATCCCAGTACAAAGACCCGTGAGATTTAAAGGAATACTAAAAGCCAGAATGCAGTCAGTTGCAGAAGGCACACAATCTGTAGCATCCACTCAGAACTTACATAGCATGTATATAAACAGGAGAGAATATCACCTGCAGCCAGGAGAACTAACCATCCACAGAAGCAAAACCAGAAACGGCACAGGTGATAGAATTAGGAGATAAGAATGCTTAAACACCTGTCATAAATACACTCCACATGTTCTAGAAAATAGAAGAAAGCATGAGCTTAATGAATAGAAAAATGGGAACTATGTAAAAGGCATAAATGCAACATGCAGAGATGAAACACACACAGTACTTGGGGAGGAAATTATACAATACACAGTTAACAGCACACTAGACTTGCAGAAGAAAAAAATTGTGACATTTTAAGACATACCAAAAGAAGCCATTCAAAATGAAACGAGGGGGTGAGGGGTGGGGGGAGATTAAAGAATTAACAAAGGAGTCGATGGGGCTTTCTGCTGCCGTAGCGAGTTAGGGTCTCAGGAACTCAGGGCATTCTACCCTGTTCTGGAGGGTCACTGTGAGCTGGCATCGACTGGATGGCGGTGAGCTTACTTACTTCTCTCTCTGCCCCAAATCCGTTTTGACTGCCCTCGGGCAAAGGTATAATCTTGTTAGAGTGTCTCAGAGCATGCCCCATAGTACTGTGGGCACCGGTGTTCTCCAACAGCTGGAGGGACGGTGATAGAAACTAATTGAGTGCTCTCTCCACCCCTACGGAGGGAAGCCCATAATACACCTCAAAGTTCCCGAAGACAATGCCCACTTCCCAGATAGACCGTGAAATAAATCTCCACCTATTTTAAAGATGGCCTCCCCGGCACTGCCAAATTCCACCACCCGGGGCTGCTCTCGCCTCGTCTGTTAAGCGGTTTGGAAGCTGCTAGCTCTTAAATTCTGAGTCTTTTTAAGGCACAAGGCACTTCTTGCTGGAGGAGACTTCCTGAATTCCCCCTGTATTTTGTGTCTGACCATCAGCCATTCCTCGGTCGGTGACAAAGAGGATGCATACAGTGTCTGCAGCCAGCGGCTCCAGCACAGCAGGGACGGGGAGGTGGCACAGGACCGGCAGGGTTCCCTCCTGTCGTACAGAGGGCTGCTAACGGAGCGGGAACAGCCTCGCTGGCGGCCAGCCACAGCCCCTGTCTCGGAGTCCCTGGGTGGCGCATGCGGTGAAGTGAAAGGGCGGAGGCTTGAGCCTACCCAGGGTCATTTGGGAAGGCAAGCCTGGCAGTCTGGCCAGGCACAGCCTTGAAATGCTGCAGCCGTTGCAGCTTTACTCTGCACACGTGGGGTCGCCGGGGTCAGATGGGCCCAGTGGCACCCGACGGCAACATGGGCGGTGGTTTCCAGGTGGCACAAGCGCTTTCGACTTGACCACTAACCTCAGGTGTGTCAGCAGTGCCACGGAAGAAGGGCCTGGTGCCCATTCTGTAACGCATGGGGTCACTGTGGGTCGGAATGGACGGCACAGCCACGGGCTCTTTGGGGCTGTGCTCCTGCGTGTCTTCTAGAGAGAACACCGAGGAACGCAGAGTAGACGTTTGTGTTTCCTGGGCCTGCCTCTGGCCCACCCATCCCTCGGGCTAATTCCCCTAACCCACCCTGCTGCCAGTGTACACAGATTGCTCAACACGGTTGGGAAGCAAGAGAGCTGGGTGTCCCCCTGGGTAGATACAACTCAAGCTCTCCATTTGGCTTCCTCTGCTGTGGTGTGGATGTTTCCAGCGTGTTCTGTCCCTCCAGAGGAGCACAGGTGTAGCCACGTGCCGGGTTTCACGGGCATGGCGAACTTCGCTGCGTGCCAGGTGGTGTGGAATGGGTAGCACCCTCGTGGCTGCTGGCGCTCAGTGGGAATGGCGCCCAGCCCTTCTCACCGAGTGTGTGGTTGAAAGCAGAGCCGCTCAGCCCCGAACCTCCTTCCCTCATGGGTGTTCCCCTCGCCCTCCTCAGGCACGGGGGTGTTTGCCGTGGTCAACAGCCACACCTTGTCCCTGCTGGGGAAGCTGACCATCAGCGCTGCCTTCAACATTGTGTATATCTACACCTCGGAGCTGTACCCCACTGTTATCAGGTAGGTGCCACACGAACTCGTGGGGTGTTCTCCGGGAGGTGCTTCCCTGACCCGCTCTTCTGGGGCCCAGTCAGAACAGCATCCACGGCCACTCAGCCAACAGCAGCACTGCAGCTGTCTGCGTGCACACTGTCGGCTTTTATCAGAACGCCCTCCTGTACCCTCTCCTCTGCGCTAGAACCCCCCCAGCCCCCGGAGAGAGCGCTGCTCGCCCCACAGCCAGAAGGCCATTGCCCTCATCCCCGGCACGTGGCAGGCATGCAGCAGGCCGAGGGGACGAGGGCAGTGTTCTCACGGAGCCGACAGTTCAGAAGGCACATGAATAAACAAATAGGCAAAATGGTTACCAAGATAGTCTCATGTGGTAATATGTGACCATTAGACTTCCATGTTCAATGTTAAACATGATTGGGGGTGGTTTTGGGGTTCTTTTTAGTGAGCAGAACACACTTAGAAAGGACATATTCCATCCTAAATTTCCCCTCAGAATCAGTCTGGGTGCTAGTGAGGAAGGACCCCCAAATTGAAGGGTCAGGGAGCAGCAAACGTTACAAGCCGCTCCTCTGGGCCAACCAGCCGTTTCTGTCTGAAGCCTGTGTTTCTCTTAGTTGTGCAAGAACCCACGTGGATCTTTCTGCCTGTTGATTGAATATCTTTTTCTTTTTAAATAAGAGATCAGATTGTTCATGACTAGCTAATCATTTTCTCATTGTTCTTCGAACCTACTTCACTAGCTGCAAAGCGAGGACGACCACTTGGTCCAAACGCGGACGGTTTGGACATATTACAGAGGTTACTTAGGGTGGGATCACAGGGTCACCTGACCTGTGAGTGGTGTCCTTCTCCCTCCCGCCTCTTTCAAACCCACACTCCCCAGAAAGGTCATGTTCTTGGTTTCCTGAGACTCCAGGCTCAGTCCACGCCTTTTGACATTCTTGACCATTCAATAGTTAAGATGAGTTTAATTAACTGGACAGAATTTTTCGTTCATGTAGCTCTGGCTTCCTATGGCTGTATTAACTAACGCACATGAGACGGAAAAGCAGCAGAAACAGAAAGTTGCTGGGCCAAAAGGACTCTCGTGTGGTTCTCAACAGCCTCTCGAGCCACCCTGCCCAATAGCGTAGAGCTATTAGCCTATGTGGCTACTGGAATTTCAACTGGATTAAGTTAGAAATTCCGTTCCTCAGCGTCATGCCACATTGCCAGTGTGCGGGAGCCACACGCCTCTTATTGGACAGTGCCACCATCCAGCATTTCCGTCGTCCAAGGCCTGGCTGCTAGGCGGCACTGCTCTGTGGGTCCTGCACTTCCACGGTGAGGGGGGGGGGGAGGCGGTGACTCTTCAGATTCTGCAAACTGACCTTTCTCTCTCTGCTTTTCAGGAATGTCGGACTGGGAACGTGTTCCATGTTCTCCCGAGTTGGTGGGATTATTGCTCCCTTCATCCCCTCCCTGGTTGGTTTGTACCTCCTTGTTTTGCCTTTCTTGATTCTCTGCTCGGGGAATGCTTGTGCTTTGAGTAGGAGGAGGTAACAAGCAGATGTGATGTCAGACCCCACCACCAGGGAGGACATGGCTGCGGCCCTTTAGAGTGACCAAGAATCCAGTGACCAACAGACTCTGATTGAAGAGGCCTGTCCCCTGCAATGGGCCTGATGCTCAGCATAAGCCGACAGCCAGTGGAGGGTCTGTGAATGGCAGCTTGCACCCTCCTGCCACAGGATGCTAGCTCATGTCCTCGTCACAGTTACTGTTTGAGGTCAACCTTGTTGTTACCTCTGCATTAGAGAAGAGGATTGCAGCTGAAAGAGGGGAGTAATTACCTTCACCAAAGACACACCACTTAGAAAAGAACAGAGATGGACACTTAGTTATATATGTGTGTCTGTGTATATATTCACAGACATACTATATGCATGTATATATATATATATTTAGTAGTATATCGCTAAGTCCATACAAACATATATCCATACATGTTTGCACTCACATGCCACACACACACATACACAGAGAGAGAAATGTGTTTTCTGAGGAGCCCTGGTGGCATCTTGGTGTTACACAATGACCTGCTAATTGCAAAGTCAGAAATTCAACCCCGCCAGCCACTCCACTAGAAAAAGATGAGACTTTCCGCTCCAGTAAAGATTCATAGCCTCAGAAGCCCAGAGGGGCATTTCTACCCTGTCTTGTAGGGTCACTAAGAGTCAGACCGACTCCATGTCCCAGGGGAGAAGCATTTTCTAAATATCATACGGAACGTTGAAAGGGTGTGAACTGAAACATCTCCTGGTCTTAAAATTCTCAGATTCTATAAAGGACCCCATGGGGCTCATATGCTGGCTTCTCCCTTGTCTGATCTGTAACTGCCAAGAAGCAACCAACCAGTGACTAGATCCTCTTCCCAGGGGCCCAGTGAACCTGCTCCGTGAGCAGCTCTAAGTGCCCCCACTGCACAGGACGGGCGTGTCTCTGGTGCCACGCTCTCCTCGCCATGTTTGCAGCTGCCACGCGCTGTCTTTATTCGAGAATCTTTCCAGATCTCGCACTTCATTTCAGTTTCCTTCTTCTGCTGGAGTCTCATGTCCATGGTTCATTCTTTAAAATGGGTCCAACATCAAGCGTTTCTTGCTGAAAAATGTCCCTCTTTGGATAATGACCCCAGGTTATGATGCCCAGCCTGTGCTGTATGGAAGACGCCAAGGTGGCTTGGCTGCTAACTGACAGGTTGGCAGTTTGAACCCCCACTCAGTCATTATGGGGAAAACACGGGGCATTCAGCTCCGGCAAAAGGTTCCAGTCTTCAAAACGCTATGGGGCATGTCTACGTCCCCCTACTAGGGGCCTTCAAAAAGGTTTGGAAATGAAATCAAGGGATCTTTGATTCTGAGTCAGAATTGACGGCCATGGGCTTGGCTTGGTTTATTGGTGTCTGAGGGTCCTGTGAAGTTTAGAGGAGGTAGAAGTGTGTGTTTCCCTGGACTCCACAGTACCCTGTGTACCACGAACCTGTGTGTACGCAGGGTAGTTCCAGGAGATGAGAGGTCCGCTGCCCTTCTCTCTCTCTCTGCCTTTCCCTGCTGGTGCCTCTCTCTCCCTCCTTCTCCATCTTTTGTTTGGATTTGGGGGCGGGCTGTGGGTGGGGGCACACATACAGAAAGAAATCATCTGAAGGGGGATCCTAAACTGACTGTGGCCCCACTCACTGACACCTGTCCCCACCGGTGTGGGCACTGGGCGCCTAGACCAGATCCCAGGAAGCATCTGCGCTGGGTTCAAGGCTGTTAACCAGTTCTCAGAGAGGCCCCCAACCAACATCCCACAGGGATGTCTGCTGTGCTGTGATCTCTCAGCCCTTTGTCTTTAAAGAAAATATCTAAATTTCCCTGCGATTATCCTGCAGGATCTCTGAAGCAATTGCTTATGGTGTAGCTCCTTACAATGTTCATTTCATGCTGTTCACAACACCCCCCCTGGGGGGGTGTGGTGTAGGTTTCTTTTGATTTTATCTTCTCTCCAGAGTTTTGGTTTTTTCAAAATGATGTTTTATTGTATATTTTCTGTAAAAGTTTACACCAGAGATTAGGTTCCCGTTCAATGACTTCTATACAGCTGGTTCACGCTGTTCACTACGTTTTTCACAGTGTGTCAGCATGCTCTTCGGTGCTCCAGGTTGTCCCCTTCCGGGACTCTGTTTCCCCTGTCTCTGCTGCTGCGAGCTCTGTGCCTCTCAGCCATAGGGCCTCAAGGCAGGGGTGGTGATTGGGATTTTGGATTGTGCCCAGGTTAAGAACTCCAAAGGTTGTCATGAGCAAATGCTTTGTCATACGCCCTAAGTGATGAATACATGCACATCACTGCTGAGAGCCCTGGTGGAGGGGCTATGCGTGGTAAGGTCAGCAGTTCGAAACCACACTCCTCCATGGGAGACAGAGGAGGCTTTCTGCTGCGCCTGTAGAGTGACCGTTGCACTCTTCAGGGGCCGTCCTTCCCTGTCCTGTAGGGTTGCAGTCCACTCACTGGCAGTGAGTTTGAGTATGAGTATTATATGTTAATACTGGGGGATACCCCCCCAAAATCCCAAAAGAACAGATTTTTTTCCCAAAGCTATGTATTTACATTTTTTACAAAACGGCTTTATCATCTTCAAAGTGCTCTCCATTACACTCAATACATTTGTCAAATCTGTGATTCCATTCTTGGAAACGTTTTTTCAAACTCTTCTGCTTGGATGCCTGATAGCACCTCCCTTGTTTTTTCCTTGACCTCTTCTACATCACCAACTCGCTATCCTTTCGTGTCCCTCTTCATTTGAGGAAACAAAAAGTCACACGGAGTGAGGTCAGGTGAGTAAGGTGCGTGGAGCAAGAGAGTCATGCTGATTTTTGCCCAAAACTGGCACAACTGAGACGACTGTGTGAGCAGGTGCATTGTTGTGGTGGCAAAAACAATCCCCCGTCTGCCACAAATCAGGCCTTTTTTGTCGCACATGGTTAGGCAATCTTCTCAGAGCCTCTAACTAGAAATCTTGATTAACAGTCTGACCTGGTGGAACAAACTCCAAATGCACTATCCCCCTCACATCAAAAAAGCAGGTGAGCACGGATGTTTTGGGTACCCCCTCGTGCATGAGGTAGAAGCTGAACTCCAGATTCCCTTCAGTCTTGGACCCTGCTCTGCTCGGAGACGGCATGTGTCCCCTTCTTCTCCAGCACACCCCCTCCTCCCAGATGAAAAGGTCCCCTGCCTCCAAGCCCCAGCCCCGAGCTGCTTTCTCTTGACTCCTTCACATTCCCAGGAGTCACTGGGTGACTTCCCAGGGCCGTTTGCGATGAAGAAGGACAATTGCTCTGGAGTGGATTCTAATGGGGTGATTACAAAAGCAAGCAAGCATTCTCAGTCCATTCCAGGCCACAGCAATGCACGGGACCAGTAGAACTGCCCGTAGGGTTTCCAGAGCTGTAGTCTATATGGAAGCAGACCGCCAGCTTTCTCTCCCCTACCCCCAGCAGCCGCTGTGTTTGAATTGACAACCATCGGTGAGCAGCTAAGCACTTACCCGCTGTGCTGCCCCGCGGGGCTCCCCGTGGGAAGAGTAAGTGGAGAGTCCACAATGACGGTTCTTCCGGTGTTCTCCGCTGGGAAAGCAACACTGACATTTTGCTTCTTCTCCACCCCTCCAGAGAGATGTGCAGTGGTCTTTACCCTTCATTGTCTTTGGAGCCACGGGCCTGGCCTCGGGCCTCCTGAGTTTGTTATTGCCTGAAACCCTGCACAGGCCCTTGCTGGAGACCTTCTCCGACCTCCAGGTGTATTCCTATCGCAGGCTGGGGGAGGAAGCGCTGGCTCTACAGTCCCTGGACCCCCCACAGGTATGGCACGTTTTGTTCCCCATTGGGACCCAACACTTGAATAGTGACCAGTTTGAAAGTGAACGTGGGATATCCCCCGCTTAGGTGCACTAGAGCTGGACCAGACTGCTGGAAAGCAGGCGGGTTCTCATCGCCGCTGAATGCGGTGTTCAGGGAGTAATCCACACGATGGGTGTGGCGTGTTAACATGCTCTGAACACTGTGGGGACACTTCCTAGGAGGAGAGAGATCCGGGTCCCCTGAATAGGTCGCTCCCCAGTTCCGCTTCAGATGTGTCGCGACTGCCCTCTTCTCTCTTCCCGACTTAGGCTGCGGACAAGGAGAGCGTGTCCAGGAGCGAGAGTGAGGAAGAGGAGGAGTTTTACGATGCGGACGAGGAGACTCAGATGATCACGTGAAGGGCCGCAGAAACCCCGGGTCGTCTTTGGTGTGTCTGCTCGGCAGATTCTCCAGGAGTGTCGGAGGTCAGGCTTGTTGCACCTCTGTGGATGCTACTCCGCCCGGAATGGTTTTTTGAGGCAGAGGAGAAGCTGGGGAAGAACTCTCATGAGAGGGGAGTTGACTGCATTGAAGGAACGATTGTTATGTTGTCGGAATTCAGATTTAGCTCACAGTCGCCACCTCTGACCCAGTGGCCCCACCCACATTGCAGCGTGGCTGGCCGACTGTTTCCAGAAGTTTGAGCATGCCTCTTTTCCTTCCCCATGGCCTAAAAGCAGATTTGTAAAGTGTGTCAGCATTTCAGTGGGATAAGTCATCCTGAAGGTAGAATCTTTAGACCCTTTAGAACCCTTCCCGGTGCTTCTCACCAGGAATCCGGTGTTAAGATTTCCATTCTGCGCCAGAGGACAAGCAGTGAGAGGCGTTTTGTGGGACTCGGCTTTATCTTGGTGGATACGGTTTGTTCACAGCTTGGGTCCCAGCCTACGGGCTGGCTTGAGGACTTGTGCCTTTAGTTCCACAGATGAGGGACTAGTAAAAGCCAAATGTACCAAAGCGCTTCTCCTCGCAGTCAGAGCCCTGTCCACCTGCCCCGAAATGCTCAGGCTGGGCCACCTGTTTAGTCCCCACATGTACATGCCTCCGAGAGAACCTTCCAATGCCAGCAATCACCTCAAAATCATGGTCAGTAAATGAAAAAGCTTTAGAAGGATGGAAGGCACTTCAAAAGTGGCATGTTGAGCCCCCAGTTTTAAGAAGGAAGAGGAAAATTGCCTTCCCTGTCTTTTGGGGTGGTGGGATCTGCTGTCAATGTTGCACAATGTTGGATACCATAAAGAATTCCAGTGCTGCTTGTCCTAGATCAGCCCCGGCCTGTCTTGGTGAAGAGAAGGAGATCTAGGTACTTTGTTTTGTTGTTGTCGTTAAGTAATGCCGATTTTCAGGTAAGTGCCATGTGTGCAGAGTTTGCTGAAAACGCCTGTGTCCTTAGGAAACGTGAATGTTCTCGCGAATGGGAGTATTAGCCTGGAGGGAACATCCCTTTAGTCACTTCCCCATCTAGGAAAATGTCCCCGTGTTCCGAATTTGTCATCTCTACAAATGCCTTGGAGGGCAAGAAAAAAAGTGTTAGAGGTCAAGAGAAGACATCATGGTGACTATTGCTGGGTGTCTGGGTGGTGTCCCCACTTGGCTCCAGAGATGCGCCTTGTCCTCGTCCACATTAACTTTTCAGTTTGCATTATGTCAGTCTGTCCTTTGTATTTATTAAGGTATTCTCATGTCTTCCGATGACTGTCTGTGTGCTCTGGTTTATATGTTAGTATCGGGTTTCTCGTCACCATGACCCATCTCTGCTATTATGGTAAGGCAAATAATAACTACAGAAATATAAAAACCTTTTAAACAAAAATACCAAACCGGGACGCTTTTGTTTCCCCACATCACCTCCTTGTGGGTCTAGACACGTGTCTGTCGTTCAAACGTCCCTGTGGAGTTAGGTGCTCCCTGATTTACACTCCGTGCATGCCATGCCGCGGCAGTGACGGCATCCTCGGGGGCCTGAACGGGTGTTTCTTCTCTGTTATTTGAGTTTAGGGGAACAAAAGGGAGTCTGAAGGGGCAATGCCAGGGCTGTAGGGCCGATGGGTAAGGTTTCCCAGTGAGATTCTCAAAGGGCAGCCCTTGCTCCCCTCGAAGAAGGCATTGTTGTGGGGAAAAGCTACTTGGCCCAACTTTCCTGGCCTTTTTCTCGCCATTGCAGTTTTCTTTAAACGTCTTAGTAATCTCCCATCATCACCCTTTGCCTTAAAGAACATCTGCCAAGATTACCCCCCTTGGAACCCCAATAAGCAGTCACTATAACCTTCTGAGTTGACTTCTCTTCCTTGAATTTAACTGACCCAGTAGTCAGTCCCCTTCAGAAGCGACCGTTTCAATGAGATCTTTTTTGAAGGAATCCTATCAAGGCTAAGACAAGTGCATGACTGAAAAAACTTGTCCGCAGCCATGGACTGATCACAGAGACATTTTCAAACACGTTTTATCTGGACTAAACCCATGCATGTATGAAATGGAATCCTAGTAGCAGTATGTCTTACTTACCTTCATATTTCTCATCATCCAAGAACACTGCCCTTGGCACAGTAAGCCCCATTGCCTTTGACTCCTGGTCACCCTACGTGTTGCAGAATAGAACTGGGCTCCAAAGAATGTTCATGACTGTGACCTTCACCAGGCATGGTTTTTTGCTCTTGCTTTTGTTTTTCTCAATGCATTTGTGAGTGGGTTCAAACTTCCAACCCTTTGGTTAATAGTTGAGTGTGGCCATTTGTGCCACCCAGGGACTCTAGCCACAGTACCAAACCAAAACATTTCACTGCCATCAAGATGATTTCAACCGCGGGTGGTCCTGTGGCACAGAAGAGACTGCTCCTTAGGGCTCCTGAAACAGTATTTTCAGGAGCAGACAGCCACATTGTGCTCTTGAGGAGCGGTGGGTGGGCTGGAAAGGCTCACCATGCAATTAGCAACCTGGCAGTCAACCCTCTGGGCCACCAGGCTCCTCACATGAACCCGACACCAAATCCATGACCATTGAGGCAATTCCACTCACAGAAACCCTATGAAATAGGGTCAAACTGCCCCTAGAGCAGCGGTTCTCAGCCTGTGAGTCACGACCCCTTTGGGGGTGGAACGACCCTTTCACAGGGGTCCCCCGATTCATAACAGTTGCACAATGACAGTGATGAAATAGAAATGAAAATAATATTATGATCATGGAAGCAGCACACCAGCCTATGCAACCACGAAGTGTCGAAGGGATCAGGCATAAGGCATCATCAGAACGAAAAGTCTTACCATAGTGAATGATGGGGGGAGTGCGGAGTAGAGATCCAACGCCCATTAGTAGGCCACTGGAGATCCCCTTGCATGAGGGGCCTCGGGGAGGAGATGAGCCAGTCAGGGTGCGATGTAACAATGATGAGAAATACAACTTTCCTCTAGTTCCTAAATGTTTCCTCCCCACTCCCACTACCATGACTCGAATTCGACCTTGCAAGTCTGGCTAGACCAGAGGATGTACACTGGTACAGATAGGAACTGAAAATCCAGGGAATCCAGGGCGGATGAGCCCTACAGGACCAGTGGTGTGAGTGGCGAAACAGGGAGGGTAAAGGGAGAATGGGTAGGAAAGAGGGAACCAATTACAAGGAACTATATGTGACCTCCTCCCTGGGGGACAGACAACCGAAAAGTGGGTGAAGGGAGACGTCGGACAGGGCAAGATATGACAAAATACCAATTTATAAATTATCAAGGGCTCATGAGGGAGGGGGGAGCGGGGAGGGAGGGGAAAAGTGAGGACCTAATGTCGGGGGTTTAAGTGGAGAGAAAATGTTTTGAGAATGATGTACGAATGCACTTTACACAATTGATGTGGGTATGGATTGCGATAACAGTTGTATGAGCCCCTAATAAAATGTTTAAAAAAAAAAGAAAAGAATTGTATGGTTGAGGGGGGTGGTCGCCACAACCTGAGGAACAGTATGAAAGGGTCACGGCATTAGGAAGGTTGAGAACCACTTGCCCTAGAGGGCTTCTAATGCTTTAAATGTTTATGGGAGTAGAAAGCCTCATCGTTCCCCCTTAGATACCGTAGGGACCTGATCAATGTTTCTGTTTCGAACTCTTCGGAATCCCGCTTGTGCAATCCCACTCCCCCCGCCTCCCACTACCATTCTTCTGACTGACCTAAATTCCCAAATTGTGGAATCTTGCTGGGCTTTCTCTGGAAAATGGCGATTCCTCAGCCACCATTAAGAGAGGAAGCAAAGAGAACATGCAAGACACTTAAGCTCGTTACAAGCTCGTTTTCCGTGGGTAGTTAGTAGTAATCACACATTCTGGACCTCATCACATCTATTGGGGCAACCCATGACCACAAGTACACCTGTCTCCAGACCCAATACAATGACCAGTGAGGTAAAGCAGCGGGCCAGACGGTTGATGGTGTTACCATGGATGAAATGGAAGATGGTAGTCCACAAGAGGGAGAAGAGCAATCAGGAGCAGGTAAATGGTAAACTATTGAGGGGGTTGATTAGTACTTCCAACTGTGGAATACAAAATTGAGATTTGAAATGTAAACCCCCCACGTAACTTACAATAAAAAAATTGCTAAAAAACATTCAAGTTACATATTGTGGTTTGTAATAACAAACGAGCACTACTTTTTGACATGGGTCAAAACATTATTATTACTACTGTATTATGTTGAGGATGTCTTCGTGTATCAGGAAGTGTTTCTTCAGTGTTCTGTAGATAAAAAGGTATACTATATCCTACTAAGAAAAATATTTCATGAATATTCCATAGAACCATACTTAATTGTTACGACTTCTATACAAATTTGACTTAAGACAGACTTTAGGACCAGAACTCATTTGTGATCTGGGGGCTGCATATATATAAGATGGTACCTAGACAATGTCTGGATCACATAATATCCTATTTCACAGATCTTATCATGGATGTTAAGTGACACTTAACTAAGTGTGAGTCCGAAAGTACGGCTACTTGGGTTCCAGTTGGTTTATTGGAACGTTGTTCTTATTATAAGAGTGATACATCCCATTATGGAAAGTAGGAAAAAATCACCATCCATTGGCCCATGTAACAAAGCTTACACGCTTCTTGCTAGACACAATGATAACATATCTGACTTTTTTAAAATACTGTTTGAGACATACCAAATTGATTTCATGACCAACGTTTTGGTTTACACGGGTAATCGGGTGCTGTGTTTATTTTCAGAGGAGCCTGGCTTGCACAGTGCTTAAGTGCCCAGCTGCTAGTGGAAAGGTGAGTAGTTTGGCCCCAACAGCTGCTCTGCAGGAGAAACAGGTGGCATTCTGCTTTTGTAAAGAGTACAGGCTTCAAAACGCAGTGGGAGAGTTTCACATCGTCCTGTAGCATTCCTGTGAGATGGAATCAACTGGACTGCAACAGCATTAGTTTCCAATTGCTGCTGGAACAAATTACAGAGTGGTTTGGGACAGTACATACATATTCTCAAGAGTTCTGGAGGTCAGACCTCAAAATGAGTCTTAAGGGGCTAAAATCAAACTGTCAATAGGATTGGATACTTCTGTCTGCCCCATGTGAGAATCCATTCCTTGCTTCTTCCAGACTACAGCATTCCTTGCCTCCTGGCCACATGACTCCTTCATTTGCTTTTTTTGTCACATAGATGCCTATCACAGATACCCTTAAAGTGTATGTGTCTTTAAAGGATCCTAAGTGCACTGGATCTGGTAGCAGCATTGTAATACAAATTACAATGGATAACCCAGCCATCACTTGGAGAAGCCAGGCCATGAATAAGGCCCCAAATCTGCATTTGTTGTTGATCCTATTAACCCAGTTGGCTGAGCCAGCATGCTACCATGGAGACATCTTGCACTTATTGTTTGAAAGAATAAACTGCTTACAAATGAATGTGAGCCTAGTAAGTCTTTCTGTTGAGTTTTGTTACCATCTTAATGAATTACTATCATTTCCCATGTTCCAACAGTGTCTTTTCAAATTAAATTGTCCATTTTGATTCTTTCCTAGAGTGTTATCTTCAATCTCTCTCTTTGTTATATGTTCTTAAAGTATTTTGTACTTTCTCATTATAGTTCTTATTGTATAATCTAATAAAAATGATGTCCCCTTCAAGGCCAAATATCTGGGAAAAGATATTTGCATGTGTTTAGTTGACTATGAAAAAACATTCAGTTGTGTGGATCTTAAACTCTGAATATCTTTGAGGGGAATGGGAATTGCAGAACATGTCATTGTGCTCATGCAGAACCCGTACATAGACCAAGAGGCAGTTGTTTAAATAGAAAAATGGAATATTGGTTGACTTACAGTTGAGAAAAGTGTACATTAGAATTGTTTCCTTTCACCATACCTGTTCAATCTATCTGCTGAGCAAATAATCTGAGCAACTGGATCCTGTGAAGAAGAATTCAACACCAGGATTGGAAGAAGATTCATTAACAACCTGCGATATGCAGGTGCTGTAACTTTGCTTGCTAAAGAGAGGAAGAGTTGAAGCACAGGCTGATGAAAACCAAAGTCTGCGATTGGTTCCGCCCTTTCTCCCGCCACCTTCCCCTTACCCTCCTGGTATGGCTACTCTCAATATTGGTCATGAGGGGTTTATCTGTCCTGGATTCCCTGTGTTTCCAGCACTTATCTGTACCTGTGTACATGCTCTGGTCTAGCCAGATATATAAGGTAGACTTGGGGTCATGATAGTGGTGGGGGGGAAGCATTAAAGAACTAGAGGAAAGTTACATTGGTGCTATACTGCACACTGGCTCGTCTCCTCCCTGCAACCTTTCTGTAAGGGGATGTTTAATTGTCTACAGATGTGCTTTGGGTCTCCACTCCACACTCCCCCCTCATTCACAATAATAGATTTTTTTTGTTCTGGGTCTTTGATGCCCAATACCTGGTCCTGTCATCACCTCATGATCACACAGGCTGGTGTGCTTCTTCCATGAGGGTTTTTTTGCTTCTCAGCTGATGGCCACTTGTTTATCTTCAAGACTTTAAGACCCCATATGCTATATCTTTTGATAGCCTGGCACCATCAGCTTTCTTCACCACATTTGCTTATGCACCCACTTTGTCTGATCTACATATAACTCCCTCCCAGGGGAATGGACAACAGAAAAGTGGGTGAAGGGAGACATCTGTCAATGTAAGACATGAAAAAATAATAATTTATAAATTATCAAGGGTTCATGAGGGAGGGGAGAGGGGGGAGGGAGGAGAAAATGAGAAGCTGATACCAAGGGCTCAAGTAGAAAATGTTTTGAAACTGATGATGGCAACAAATGTATAAATGTGCTTGACACAATGGATGGATGTGAGCCCCCGATAAAATGATTTTTTTTAAGCTGTTAAGAAAAAAAGAAAATCAAAGTCTGCAGCCTTCGGTATGGCTTGGAACTCAAAACCCAAATCCTTACAACTGGACCAATAGGCCACATTATGATAAATGAAGAAAAGACTGAAGTTGTCAAGAATTGCGTTTTACTTGGCTCCACAATCAATGCTCATGGAAGCAACAGTCAAATGAAGTGATGCTGGCTCAGACTGCTGCACAAGACACTCTTTAAAGTGTTAAAGCATACAAATGTCACTGTGGAATAATGTGAGCCAGACCCAAGCCGTGTTATTTTCAATAGCGTCATATGCATGTGAAAGTTGGACATTGAATGAGGAAAACTACAAAAGAAGGGATGTATTTGAGTTACAGTGTTGGAGAAGAATATTGCAATTACGGAAGAACAAACTCGTGTTGGAAGAAGTCCACCCAGAATGCTCCTTTTTAAGCAAGGATGGAAAGACTTCATCTCGTGTGCTTTGGACAGATTATCAGGAGAGACCAGTCCTTGGGAAAAGGCCTCCTGCTCCATAGAGGGTCATTGATAAAGAGGAAGCACCTTGACAAGATGGGTTGACACTGCAGCTGCAATGATGGGCTCAAAGTTGTGGGAATGGCCCAAGTGCCGTCATTGTCTCATTCTGGCGTCCATTGGGTCACCATGCATGAGCAACAACCAGACAGCACCTAACAACAACAACGCTGTATCTCTTATT